CCCCATGAGTGGCTCTACGGCACGACCATGGCTCTAGAGGCAAAAGGACTTAGTCCAGATCCCGGCAGCTTGCGGCAAAAATGTGAATGGACCATGTGTTAAACTATGGCGCAGTGTCTCCCTAGGAGGGAAAGGGTGTTGCTCCCTTCCGCTTTTTTCCCTCCCGGTAGCAAGGTGGCTGCTGCCTCAGAACTTACAGGAAAGCCAGGTATGAGCCAGCGGTGACGGGGCAACTGCAGTCTCATGGGAAGGGGGGCAGTATTAGCTCGTCCTTCACGCCCTACCGAGGTCACAAGTTGCCCCCCATGAGCGGCTCTCCGGCACAACCATAACACCAGGAGCACAGAAACCAATTTTGTAATTATCTGGTTCTTTGCAGAAATCCAAAATCATTATATGATTCTTATAACCAGCTATGGAAAACAAAGTATTTCTCAATGTCTTTTCAGCGATTCTGATTGTTGGGAGGGGGAAATTCTAAACAATAATGGTGAATCTTTTTTCGAAATGATGAGCGTAATCAATGTAGAGAAGAGTTAAGTGGAAGTCATCTGCCTCACAGGCATTGGGAGGGGTGGGAGGGGGAGTATATTGGGGTTCTTGGTGGTGAAAAATGAGTACTGGTGAAGGGAGAGGTGTTTGACCAAGACTTAAACCTGAAAGCTTAGTAACTTTTCCCACAGTGATTCAATAAATATAAGAAGAAAAATTAAAAAAGAAAGAAGAAAGAAAGAAAGAAAGAAAGAAAGAAAGAGCCCCAGAGAAAGGACCAGGCCACATGGGTTTAGAAGAGAAAGATTTCCTGTTACTAGCTGTCACTGTCATTGTACCATAGTGAATAGTGTATGAGGTGTGGGATGCCACCTCCCACCCCATTCCCCAGTTAACCCAACTGTTGAACTCTTCCTAAGTTTGATAATAATCTTATTTTTTTTCCCCTGAGGAAAATGAGTATTTAGTTTATTCTTGCAGTTATCTGTTGAAAAGAAAAAAATCTGGGGCCAGGTTAAGTCACTTACCTTGCATTCAGCTGACTCCTGTTTCTGATTTTGGTTTTGGGACCACACCTGCTGTACCCAGGGCTTACTCCTGGTTCTGTGCTCAGGGATCACTCCTGGCAGGGAATGGAGGTACCATCTGTGGTGCCAGGGATTGAATCTGGGTTGGCTGCATTCAAGGCAAGGGCCTTGAATTATCTGTGGTTACTCTCTCTGGCCTGCATTCAGCTGATTCTGGGTTCATATCCCAGCACCCCATAGAGTCCCCTGAGCCCTGCATGGAGTGACCTCTGAACAGAGTGGAAGGAACCCCTCAGTATGGCTAGGTGTGGCTCCAAACAACCTCACTCCCCTCATTAAAATGGCAGGACTGAAAAAAGTTGTTTATTTATTTTCTTCTTTGGGCCACACCTGCCAGTGCTCAGGGGCTATTCCCGGCCTTGTGCTCTGTGCTGGGGGAACCATGTGTGGTGCCCAGTGCCTAGAACCACCATCCCGATGCAGGCAAGGCGAGTGCCTTGCTTCCTGTACTTCTGCTCCTCTCTATCTAGTTTTTGGTGTATTCTACATTTCTGTGGTAGCTTTTCAGATTCCTTGGTTGTTCATTTTATCTCTTTTGATAAGGCTCTTTCTGCAGCTAAATATTCACCTAAATATGCTAGCAGCCACAGAAATCAAGAAGCCATTAGAGAAAATAGTGCGTTTTTATTTATTTGGTTGGGTGTGTATTTTTTCTTACTTTTAGAATGCAGTGTGCTTGGCAAGGACCTTACCCCCCCCCCCCCCCGCTCTGTGCTCAGGGATCACTCCTGGCAGGGTTTGGGTGATCATACGGGATGCCAGAGATCAATACTGGTATGGCCGCATGCAAGGCAAACACCCTGCCTTCCCGCTGTACTGTCATTCAGGCCCTGTGAAGTGTTTGTCTCACACAAGGCTCACTGGATTGGAGTCCAAGCACCACTGCCAACAGTCCCCCAATCCCTGATAGGGGTGATAATCCCTCAGTGCAGAGCCAGGAGTAAATCCTGAGCACTGCCAGATATAGCTCAGAAACCAAAATTGAAAAAAATAAATAAATAAATAATAGAATTTTAATAGATTCCCATAAATTTGTCCAATCAGGAAGTTTAGCCTTTAGTTTGAGAGAGCCTTAGGTCAAGGGGATGTTGACTGGCTGGGCAGGCCCAGTGGGAGGGCTGGTTTGTACCGCGGGGCCCTTGATTTCAGGGTCCTGTTGAATACCTGTTAGGACTTTAGCTATGATTTAGAGGAGGAGGTGGAGGTAGGAAACTTCTTCCAGCATTCAGGATCTAGTCTGGGGGAGAAATAAATTCAAGATGCCTGTGGCTTGGTATGACAGGCCCTTGGACACGGCAGAGAGTGGTGTGTCTAGGGGAGGTTTGGAAGAGTGGAAATCAAGTATCCACTTGGGACCAGAGAGATAGAACAGCAGGTAAGGATGAGTGCCCTTCAGAAGTGGGGCGGAGGAGGATGGAGGGATGGAGTGATCTAAAGGAATCTACTAGCCTTGCATTATACCTAATTTTCATTAAAACTGTAAATATTAAAAAAAAAAACTGTAAATATAGGGACTGGAGAGATAGTGCAGGAGCTACGGTGCTTTCCTTGCTTGTGGCTGACCTGGGTTTGATCCCCAGAATTCCCCATTCATGGCCAAGGCCAAGGGTAAGGAAGGCCTGAGCATCACCAGGTTTGGCCCAAACCCCTCTCCCACCAAAAAATTAGATTTGCTTCCTTTCTAGCAAAATCTTAGTTCTTTTCCTTAGTTATTTACAAAATCACCTCAAGAAGGTCAGGGTTTAGATGTATTCTTTGTCAGGTTTTTTTTTTTAATCTCTAAATTTTTTTCTTTAATTTTTTTGTTTAATTAAATCACAGCAGTGATAGCACAGCAGTGCCTTGCATGCAGCCGACCCGGGTTTGATTCCTCCGTCCCTCTCAGAGAGCCCGGCAAGCTACCGAGAGTATCCCGTCCCCATGGCAGAGCCTGGCAAGCTCCCCTTGGTGTATTCGATATGCTAAAAACAGTAACGGCAAGTCTCACAATGGAGACGTTACTGGTGCCCGCTCAAACAGATTGATGAACAAAGGGAAGACAGTCCTACAGTGTTAATTAAATCACCGTGATATACACAGCCACAAAGTTCATGATTGAGTTTCAGGTTTTTGTGTAACTCAGGTTCCCAAACTTATTTGACCTACTGCCCCCTCATCAGAAAATCACTGGACGTCTGCCTTCTTGAAGCAAATGAACAGAAAGCCATCCTAGTTGGTTGTATTCACCCTGGCATAGATCACTGCACCTGTGTGGTGTGTGTGTGGGGGGGCGGGGGGGGTGTTGTGGGAGGGTTATGTTGATCTCTCGCTTTGGAAAACACTGATCTCAATTAGGGAATGAATGGGTTGGTGGGGCTGGCAGGGGCTGTGTAACAGACCTGGGCATCATCCTTGCAGGATAGGGCAATTGGGACATGCACGGGGAGTCAGGTACCCCCACTTTGACAGACTTTTCACTCTTCACTCTGGACCTGACTCCATGTGGATATTGCACTTTGTAGCTGATGGTGGTGGTGTCATTGAAAAGAGGGAAAAATTTTTTTAAATAAAAGTTTTAATAAAAAGTTCTCATTTGGTGAAATTCATAGTTAAAGAATTCATCTGCAGGGCCTGGAGATAGTACAGCCCTTAGGGTGCACGCTGCCATGGAGCTGACTCAGGTTCACTTCCTGGCACCACATGGTCTCCAAGCATTGCTGGGTGCAGCCCCGGAGGCCCCTGAGTACCCTTGATTGTGTCCTTGGGGGCCCCCACTACCACCAGGGTTGCCTGGGTATCCTGGTACTGCAGGGTCTGAGCAGTGTTGCATCCTGTAGTCCTTACACTGAGCTCCCAGTCTCCTTGGCCAAGAATTGCTGATGGTGCCCTGAACCTCCTGAGCACTGTTTGGGAGGTTCCCTTCCCCTATCCCGCCACAAACTCAAACCACAAACCTCCTCTTCCCCCTTCCCAAATTGTATACTTCATTCTCTTGCCCCCTTCTAAAGGAAGCAGCAGCTTTTCTTTGTGTTTTCGGCCACCTTGCCTTCTTTTTCCCTCAGAGGTGCCTGGCTCCCTCCAGATTGCAGACCAAAAGTCTGGAACTGTCAGCGTTGCATGAATTTTAACTCTTTGAGAGCCCACTTCTGTTTAACTTCTCTTAACTTTTCCACTGCATGTGACTGGGCTTAGAGGGGGAAACAAATCAGTCTGAAGAATACTTGCAACATACAGTAAAGCATGGAAGCAGGAGTATGAGTGGAACTGCCTTAAAGCATCAAAGTGTCCAATTCGCTTCTGCAAATACCTCGGTCTCCTTGGCATTTATTTGGTCCGTTTGCTCTGTGTCAGATTGGCATCATTGATAAAAGACTGCCAAACAGTGTAATGATTGAACTTGCTTTTTGACTGAGTCCTTTTTTTCTCCCTTGGGATAGTTCTGCTACCCAGTGGATTCCAGATGTGCACCTATGTTTCATCTGTCACAGAAACCCAGGCCGTGTCCGGCAGCTACTTCTTGGCACTGCCTTTCTGCATCTTGTAGACCAGCCACACAGTCACCTTCTCGGCTTTTTTGCTCCCAGTTTCCCAAAGATAAAATAAATGTGCTGTGTCTGTGGTGGTCTTAAATGGATGACCAAGTGTGGCAGAGGGCCAGTACCCTCCTGGGTTATTCAGAGAGGGCCAGAACATGGTTGACATCAGGCCTCCTGGGAAGGGGGCTGTCTCCTTTTGAGACTTCCTTTGTTGAGGATGGTGCAACTTGGGCCCAGAAGGTTCAGGGTGAGGAGGTGTCCTGGGATTATCTCTCAGCTGTGGGATCAGTGAGAAATAAACCGGCAGCACAGGGCCTTCAGGAAGGTGAGACATGCCAGGGCCGCATGTCTTTGGTACTGCCCACTCTGCCCAGTGTCTTTCTCACGTCACCTTCCCTCCTCGCAGGCCCTGAGCGACCGCTTCAGCGGTGAGATCCCGGATGACCAGATGGCGCACAGCTCCTTCTTCCCAGACGAGTATTTCACCTGCTCCTCTGTGTGCCTCAGCTGCGGGTAAGTCCCAGGCACAGGGCAGAGGGTCGGAGGGTGCCCACCTGTACGCCTGGTGCTGGGGGCTAGGTCCCTCACAGACTATGACTGAAGGACGGATGATGCCTGAGATGGTGTATGTCCAGGAAGTTCCCGAGGGATTCTCTGGTCACAGGGCCAGCCTCTGAGGTTTCCGGGGATTGGAAGATGCGAGGTCATGGGAGTCCCCTACATATTCTGGTCTGGTCTAGAGGTGAATTAGATGGGTTTGTGGTTTGGGTACTTACTTGTTTTGTTTTGGCCGTGCCCGGGGATCAAGCTCCAGGGCCTCCCACTTGCATGGGTGGGGGTGCTGCCTTACTCAGCTTTTTCCCTGGCCTGGTTTGGGTACTTAGATTTTTTGTTTGTTTGTATGATTGGTTTTGGGCCTTGATTGATTTTTTGCACCCAGTGGTACTTAAGGCTTACTCCTGGCTCTGTTCTCAGGGGTCACTCCTGAAGAGGGTCAGGGAACCATAGGATTTTTTGTTTGTTTGTTTTGTTTTGGGACCACGCCTGGTGGTGCTCAGGGTATGTGGTAGTAGGGATTGAAACCCAGGTTGGCTGCATGCCAGGCAAGCACCCTAGCCACTGTACTGTTGCTTCATCCCATGTAGAGAGTGTGTGTGTGTGTGTGTGTGTGTGTGTGTGTGTCCGTCCGTCCGTCCTCTACCATCACATTCCCCTGCATTTGAGCATTCCAGCTGAGCAGAGCAGTGTGCTAGCTATTGATTCTGATTGACTTTTCTTTTCCCCATGGCAAAGGCAAATGCATGTAGCACCTTAGAGTTATTATGAAAGCTTTCAGCCTGGTTCAAACCTGGACCTCGCCTCCCAGAATTCTCACTTAAGGAATCTCAGAGCGGTGGAACATTAATGTTTCGGTGGCGCCCTCTGATGATTGCAGTATGAGGCTTGCATGGGAAGCATTGAGTCAGGGCAGTGCTTCTCAGGGTTCCATCTGAGCGCCTCCTCTGTGGGAGCACGTCTGAGAGTCTTCCCTTGTGTCCTGTGCTGCTGTTCTGGGGACCACACTGTCACTGGGCCAAGAGAACAGTGACGCTCAGTTACAGCACGCCCACAGCAAAACCCTGAGATGCGATGCCACAGACCGGGCCTTGTCCCCCAGTCTATTGTTTTTTTTTTTAATTAAAATTTTTTTAATTTAATAAAAAAATACTTCTTTATAATATTTTGTTTTGTTTTTTTGCTTTTTGGGTCACACCCAGCAATACTCAGGCGTTACTTCAGGCTCTGCACTCACGAATTACTCCTGGCGGTGCTGGGGGACCATATGGGATGCCAGGGATTGAACCTGGATTGGCCACGTGTAAGGCAGATGCCCTACCCCCTGTACTATTGCTCCGGCCCCCAAATATTTCTTTTTTAATAAAAAATATTTGTTTTATTTTGGGGTGATATTCAGGGTTTACTGCTGGCTCTGTACTCAGGAGTTACTCCTGGCAGTCTCGGGAGACCATCGTGGGTTGCAGGGGATTGAACCCGGATTGGCTGCATGCAAGGCAAACGCCTTTGCTTACTATTACTATTGCTCTGGCCCCCTGATTTAAAATTTTTTAATCAAAACACCATGGTTTATGAAGTTTTTCATAGTGGAGTTGTTTCAGACACAATGTTTTAACCCCAGTCCCACCACTGATGTCCCCAGGTTCCTCCCACCACTCAGCCTCCCCCGTTGGCAAGCATATAGCAGGTTTATTTCATATTACTTGCTTCAGTAAAAGTTTAAGGGATGGAAAATGAAATTATCAGAAAATGAATCAATAAAAGTCAATTTGTGATGACTGATTGCTATGTTTTTAACCTTTGTTAATCTAGTATAGGGCAGCCCTATGCAGCGTTAGTGAGTGCCATACCCAATGGTGGGCAGTTTGCGATGTCCTTTAGAGAAGCTCTTTTAATGCTTCTTGCAGAACTGGTTTCAGGACTCTGAACTCCCTGTGCTGCTGCCTTTCCATGAAGCTCTAGCTCTGTGCTGTTCCTTCAAATCTGAATGACAATCTAGCTAGATAGAGTGTTCTTGATGAGGTGTTCATTTTGTTGAGATTTGTGCTATATGCTTCCATATTCTTCTGGCTCATAGAAACTCTTGAAAGATCTGCTGTACATCCTATGAGATCTTCTTTATATGGAAGTTCCTTTTTTGATCTTGGGTTTTTCAGTATCTTTGGATTTTGTCATTTTGAATATAATACATCTTGAAGGTTTCCTAGTTCAGTCTATTTTAGCTGGAACCCTTGGGGTCTCTTGAACCTGGCACCTTTATTTCTCAACTATGGGAAATTCTTTTTAGTTTTTGGGGCACACCTGGCAATGCTCTGAGGTTACTACTGGCTCTGCGCTCAGGATGTTTGGGGGACCAAATGGGATGCTGGGGATTGATCCTGGGTCAACTGCATGCAAGGCAAAAAAATATCCTACCCGCAGCACCATTTCTTTGTCCCCCTGGGGGAAATTCTTTTCGATGATTTCTAAAGAAACATTGTTTCTTTATCAGATTTATCTTCCTGTTCTTCAAGGAAGACTCCAGTGAGTCTTCTATTATTGCTCTGAGGTCATAGTTCTTGAGTGTGCTGTTCATTTCTCTTTCAGACTATTTTTCACCTTCTGCTTTGTCCTAGCTGTTTCTTCTCATCTTGAAGCTCTTTGATCTTTAGCCTCTGCTGCTGTTATTCTGCTATTTAGAGCTTCTAATGAGGTGGCTTTTTTTTTTTTTTAACATCACCTACCATGCTCTTTATTTCTGTGATTTCTGACTAGTAGGGTGTTTTTGTTTTTTGATTTTGGACTTTTGGGTCACACACAGCTTTTGGGTGATGCTCGGGGGTTACTCCTGGCTCTGCAGTTAGGAATAATTTCTGGTGGTGCTCGGGAGACCATATGGGAATGCTAGGAATCGAACCCTGGTCGAGCGTGTGCAAGGCAAATGCCCTACCTGCTGTACTATTGCTCTGGTTCCTTGTAGTAGGGATTTTTTTTCTTTCTTTTTCCATTTTGGCTCTTACTCTATCTTGTGCTTTGCTGACTGCCTGTGCCATTGTTTCTTTGAGCTCATTGAACATGCTCAACGCAGTGTCACCAAAGACATTATCTGAGGATTTACTGAGCTAGATTGTGTTGTTCAGGCCTTCAGAGGTATTGTTTTCGCTCATTGAGCTTAAGGAACGCCTGTGTGTTTTCCCCATCGGTTTTCTAGTTTCCTTGCTGGGCTGCTGGTCATGAGTCTTTGTAGTTAGGCTCCTTGGGAGATGCTGAGGGATTAGGCTCAAGGATGCTTTTTCTTCTCTGCCTTTTCTCACAGAAAGACAGGAAGCATAACCTGGGGATGGAAACCCGTTCAGCCATGTGCAAGGCAAACACCCTACCTGCTGTACTCTCTTTCTGGCCCCAGGGAGCAGTGTGGTGTTGAGTAGATCTGGGCAGTCGCCAGGAAGGAGCTGGAGTGGCAGAACAGCAAGCAGAAGCCCAGGCAGAAACTGTGGTGTGGGCCCTTAACAGGGCTCAGGTTGGGCGTGGAGGCTGCTGGAACCTAGCCAGAAAGGGTGAGTCTTCGACTCCTCTTCCCAGTGGGCCCAGTGAGGTCAGCCCAGGGCAGCCTCGCCCAGTGATGGAGAAGCAGCTGCACGTCAGCGCCCCCCGCTGTTTCTGATGGAATAAGTCACTTGTGGGGTCCGAGAATTGCACTCCTGATAAGTTCCTTGTGATGCTGCTGCTGGTTGGGGACCCCACTTTGGGGATAACTGGGTTATATGAGCTGTGGATGGTAATTAAATCACAATCTGGGGACTGTCTGATGGATCCAGGAAATGTGAATATTGCATGTCAAGGTCAGGTTGCGTCTCCATGAACTGCAGGTCCTACTCTTACCCTCCACCCCACTTCAGCATCAACTCCCTTTTGCTCAGTGCGGACCACAGCTGCCTTCCCTCCCTCCCTCCCTCCCTCCTTTTTTCCTTACTTCCCTCCTTCCTTCCTTGCCTCCTCTTTCCTCTCCCTTCTCTTCAGCTTCTTTCCTTCCTTCCCTTTCTCCCTCCCTCCCTCTCTCCCTTCTCTCCCTTCCATCTTCCTTCTTTCCTTACCTCTGTCCCTCCTTTTCTCCTTCCCTCCCTTCTTCCCTCCCTCTCTCCTTCCCTCCCTTCTTCTCTCCCTTCCATTCTCCTTCCTTCCTTCCCTTCCTCCCTCCTTTCCTCCTTCCTTCCTTCCCTTCCTCCCCTTCCTCCTCCTCTCCTTCCCTCCCTCCCTTCTTTCCCTTCCATCCTCCTTCTTTCCTTACTTCTGTCCCTCCTTTTCTCTCTCCTTCCCTCCCTTCTTCTCACCCTTCCCTCCTTCCTTCCTTCCCTCCTTCCTTCCCTCCTTCCTTCCCTCCCTCCCTCCTTTCCCCCTTCCCTTCCCTTCCCTTCCCTTCCCTTTCCTTCCCTTCCCTCCCTTCCCCTCCCCTCTCTTCCCCTCCCCTCCCCTCCCTCCCTTTTTCCCTCCCTCCCTTCCTTTGATTTTGGCCCACAGCTGGCTGGCCTTACTCCTAGCTCTGCACTTAGGGCTCGCTCCTGGCAGAGCTCAGACGGACCATATGGGATGGCGGGGATTGAACCAGGACAGATTTGTACAAGGCAGAAAAACTTTACCCACGGTACTATGGTCCTCACCGTTGCCATTCTAGAAGAGACCTCAGTGGCCTCTATTTTGAGTGGCCTCTTTGCTGAAACCCACAGGCCACCTGCTGGTGATGAGCCATCCTGGCTCTGAAACTGTAAAAAACAACTCTGTCCCTGGATTCTCCTGCTTCTGGACTGTGAGAACAAAGGGTTCTTTTGATAGCATTCCTTTGGAAAAGGGAGCTGGGATTAGTCACAGCAGTGTGACTTCCCTTCCCCATTGTCTGTAGCTTGGGGCTTAGACTCTGTGGGATCTTCACTGTTCCATTCTCAGGACACCTCATCAGGATTTCCAGAACATTCCCTTTAATCGTTCCTTTGTTCCAAAGTCCTGACCACTGCTTTCTCATTGTCAGAATAGCAGAGCTGGCTCTTTGCTTGGAGGGTTTTCTCGCTCAGCATCAGCCTTCCATTAAGTCCAAGTCCAATGCCATGTTTGGAGGAGGTTGTTTCTGTCTGGCCTCTTAGCGGCCTGCTCTAGTCAACTTACCGCTTTATGGGTTTGGGATATTTTGAGTTTCCTGATAATTACATCTTTTATTTTTCTTTGCTTTTTGGGTCACACCTGGCGATGCACAGGGGTTACTCTGGCTCATGCACTCAGGAATTACTCCTGGCGGTGCTCGGGGGACCATATGGGATGCTGGGAATTGAATCCAGGTAGACTGCGTACAAGGCAAACGCCCTCCCCCCTGTGCTCCAGCCCCTGATAGTTTCATCTTGAGGTGTGTCAAGACCTAGTGTCCTGCTCCAACTGTCCTTCCTTCTGAGAGACCAGGTTTTTTGTTTTTTTTTTTTGCTTTTTGGGTCACACCAGCGATGTTCAGGGGTTACTCCTGGCTCTGCATTCAGGAATTACGCCTGGCAGTACTCAGGGAACCATATGGGATGCTGGGAATCGAACCCGGGTTGGCCGCGAGCAAGGCAAACTTCCTACCCGCTGTGCTATTGCTCCAGTCCCGAGACCAGGTAGTTTTTTTTTCCTAGAAGAGTCGTCCTTCCCCTGTGGCCACAGTTGCTCCACGTTGGTCCATACGAGTGTGAGAGGGCTGTGAGTGTTGGAGGTGAATCACCCTCTGTATGCTTGGCATTGGGGTCTGGTTTCGTCCCTGTGCCTGGCCCAGTGTACAGGCCCCTGGCTCCTTGGCCTGCCTCATTGTTGCCTCTCGGATTCCCCCCAGGGCTGGATGTAAGAACAGCATGAATCATGGGAAGGAAGGTGTACCGCATGAAGCCAAGAGCCGCTGCAGTTACTCCCATCAGTACGACAACCGAGTTTTCACCTGCAAGGTGAGTTCCCAGAGCTGCTTCCTCCCTGCCCCAGTCCTTGGCTGGCTGGTCACACTCTCCTTTGGGAAAGGCTGGCTTGGGCTGCCCTCTGCTGCTTCCCGTGTATTTGGTTTTTACATAGACTCTCTGCGGGGCGTGCGAGTGTGTGTGTGTGTGTGTGTGTGTGTGTGTGTGTGTGTGTGTGTGTGTGTGTGTATGGGGGGGGGGTCTTCCCTTTATTCCAGAGTCCTGATCCCTGCGTTGTCAGAATGCCCCGTGCTAGTCAAAACAGCTCACATGTTATTTGTTTCTGGGATTCCTTGATTTCTTTTCTGAAGCTCAGTTTCTCCTTCTGGTGACCTTCTATGAAAGGGTCACGTACATGGGCTGCATTTATTCTTCCTAATGTCACATCTGTTTCCAGGGATTTCGTTTTGATTGCTCTCTCTGGTCTGATGGGACTCATTGTCGCTCAGTTTCTCATTATGGCTCCAGGTCCCTGTTGAATACACATTCAAATCATGATCATTCAGGCCCCCTGACTTCTTAGAGAAGTGAGCTTTCTTCTGAGATGCTCAGTTTGGGGTCTGTAATTCCGCCGCTGATATGCCTGCCTATGCCTGCCGTGGGGGGTGGAGGTTGGGGGTGTGAAGAGGTAGCGGGGGAGGTGCACAGAGAACGGTGTGTTCCCCGTTTCAGGCCTGCTATGAGCGAGGCAAGGAAGTCAGCGTCGTGCCCAAGACCTCCGCTTCCACTGACTCCCCCTGGATGGGTCTCGCCAAATACGCCTGGTCAGGGTGAGTTGCCGTGACTTGCTCCATGGGGTGTGGGTGCATCTGTCTCCCAGGCTCTGGCTGGATCACAGTGTCTTTGTGCCTTCCTTGCAGGTATGTGATCGAATGTCCTAACTGCGGGGTGGTCTATCGTAGCCGGCAGTACTGGTTTGGGAACCAAGATCCTGTGGATACAGTTGTGCGGACGGAGATTGTGCATGTGTGGCCTGGAGTAAGGACCGTTGTCTTCTTCTCTTTCTTGTATCAGTTATTTATGGTTTAGAAATAGACTTGATTAGAATTAGGGTCAGTGAATGCATTTCAGTCTACTGGTGGTTTAGGAAAGCAAGATCCGGAGAGTCTTTCTTAGATGCTTGATTTTATTTTCCGTTCTGGAATCAGTTTTAGAAATAGGGAGTGGAGAGGTGGGATAGGGTTTAAACTTGTTTTGCGTGTGGCCACCCACCGTTCAATCCCCAGCACCAAGTGGTCCACACGTCATAGAGCTGGGATTATACTGCCCTAGTACACCTCTGGGTGAGTTGGGCAGTATAGTCTTCTTCCTCCCCAATAAGAGGTAGGAGTAAAATTTTAAATTAAAAATTAATTTATAGGTCAATCTATAATGCTACTATCAGTAAACAAAACTTCATTTTTCTAATACTACTTTTCTACATATGTTTTCTGAAAAAACTTTTGGGGAGTTTTTGGGCCACACACAGCAGTGCTCAGGCTTACTCCTGGCTCTGTGCTCAGAGATCACTCCTGACGGTGCTCAGGCAGCCTTATGTGGTGCTGGAGATTGAATCCTGGTTGGCCACCTATAAGGCAAGTCCTCCACCTGCTGTAGTATTGCTCTGGTCCCTCTATACACATGTTTCATAGAATTTAATTACTTGCATGTCATTCATCTTTATTTTCTCTTTTCCTTTTTTATTTTTTAAATTTTCGTTTGATTTTTTTTTGGGGGGGGGGAGTCACTTTTTGGGCCATACCCAGTGGTGCTCAGGGCTTACTTTTGGCAGGGCTTGGGGGACCTTATGCAGTTCTGGGAATTGAATCTAGATTAGCTGCATGCAAGGCAAGCACCCTATCCACTGTACTATCTTTCCAGCTTCATTTGCTTCCTTTTTTTTTTTTCTTTTCTCAATATCACATTTCTTTTGTTTCTCTTTTCTTTTGTGTTTTGGACAAACCCAGTAGTTCTCAGTCCTGGGTTGACTCCTGACTGTGTTCAGGAATTACTTCTGGCCATGTTCTGGGTACCACATGTGCTGGCCATTGAGCTCAGGTCAGCTGCATGCAAAGCAGATACTTTACTCAAAGCACTCTCTCTCCAGTCCCATGATTCCACAGTTCTGTTTCCACAGTGCTTCTGCTTCCTATGACTGATTTGTGGTCACTGTATGATTTTCTGAGAATGCTGTTTTCTTCCCATTCCCTTCATTTTGGATCTTCATGCTGCTAATGACTTTGTTGCTATCAAAGAAAACTTCATCTAAGAAAACTGAAACCATAAAAAAAGCTGAATGCCGTATGCCTAGAATTGATAAATGTGAAAATGAAAAATGATTTTATTTCAAAAATGAAAAAAAATAGTGATGAATAAGATGGTGAAACAAAATTGTTCTTAGGAGTTCACAGTGTAACAGGAAGTTAAATATATGAACAGATAATGCCGTATACACATGTGAAAATAGAATTCTTAGGGGGCTGGAGCAATAGCACAGCGTGTAGGGTGTTTACCTTGCACACAGCCGACCCGGGTTCGATTCCCAGTGTCCCATATTGTTCCTTGAGCACCGCCAGGAGTAATTTCTGAGTGCAGAGCCAGGAGTAACACCCTGAGCACCACTGGGTGTAACCCAAAAAGCAAAAAAAAAAAAGAAAAAAAAAGAAAAGAGAATAGAATTCTTAGAGAAATGCAAGTAATAGAGGATCTGGGGAAGGACTCCTCATCCAGTCTGGGGGCACTTCCTGGAAGAGGAGTCCTCTTTTCATATAATATATATATATTATGTCTTAGATGGTCTTTTTATTATTATATCTGGTTTGGGGACCATACCTGGCAGTGCTCAGGACTTACTCCTGGCTCTGCTCTCAGAGAGCACTCCTGGCAGGCTCAGAGGACCTTCTGGGGTACCGGGGATGACCCTGGGTGGGTCACATGCGAGATAAGCGCCCTGCCTGCTGTGCTCTCACTTTGGCTGTTTCCAGCACATGGTGCCTCTGGGCAGAGTCAGTCCTGTATCAAGTGGCTCTGTGCCACGTGTGTGGTCACCTGGAGGAGAATAAATAAGTGATGACTGGTGGGCTGTGATCCTGCCTAGAAGCCAGACGGTGCTTCTGTGCTGGAGGGGGTTTTGCGGTTCCGGGTTGGCCCCTGGTGAGCCTCCCACTCACCTGGGACCTGTCTGTCTCGTTCCTTTCACCACCTTTGCCCAGGGAGTGATGGGCACCTGTGTTTTTCTTTCAGACGGACGCCTTCCTGAAGGACAACAACAATGCTGCCCAGCGCCTCCTGGACGGGATGAACTTCATGGCTCAGTCAGTGTCTGAACTTAGCCTTGGGCCCACCAAGGCAGTGACGTCCTGGCTGACGGACCAGATCGCCCCCGCCTACTGGAGGCCCAACTCCCAGATCCTGGTACGGGGCAGTGGCGGGATGTCTCCGCCCCCAGGCATGGCCGCCCTACTTGTGCCCTTTGCCCCGTGCTAAGCTGGCTCTCTGAAGAGACACAGACCTTTGCTCCCCGTCCAGTTTAATTTTCCCAGGGCATTGCAAAGGGGTGGGATCCACTGAGGCAGCCGCTATGCCCTGAGCATAGTCATGTCCCTGTGTCACTCCACATGTGTTTTCTCTGTGTGGTAGATTTCAGTCTCCTTATGTGCACGGGTCGCGATGGGCACATGTCTGAGGCCAGAGATCGAGAATGTGAAAGAAAACGGGGGGCCTTCCAGGTGATTTAGGTCAGCTTGAGCTCAGAACGTCGATCCCCACTGTCAGAGAGCACCCAGCTTTGGCCCCTGCACACTTTATGATGAGCAATAAGCTCCTCACCTGCCTCCCAGAGGCTGCTTTTGAGAAGCAGCAATTAAAAAAAAAATGAATTCAGGGATGGAGTGATTGCACAGCGTGTAGGGTGTTTGCCTTGCACATGGCCGGCCTGGGTTCGATTCCCAGCATCCCATATGGTCCCCCGAGCACCGCCAGGAGTAATTCCTGCGTGCAGAGCCAGGAGTAACCCCTGTGCATCGCCAGGTGTGACCCAAAAAAAAAGATGAAGTCTCAGGTTAATAATGAATTCTCGGGATGCAAATGAGTTCTCAGGGTTCTTCTGGCTAGAATTAGCACGGCCCCTCTTGGGAGCCCTGTGCCTCGGCCCCATACGTAGATCGGAGGTGCCTTTCGGGGCACTTGGAAGTAAAGGGTTGCCTTCCTCTGCTGCCCGAGCCTGGTCTGGTGGACTTGGTCAGCTGAGCAGACACCAACAGTCCCTGCTTGTTTGTTTTGGCCTTGGAACAGAGCTGCAGCAAGTGTGCCACATCCTTCAAAGACAATGACACCAAGCATCACTGCCGGGCATGCGGGGAGGGCTTCTGTGATAGCTGCTCCTCCAAGACCCGGCCGGTGCCTGAGCGGGGCTGGGGCCCTGCGCCCGTGCGGGTGTGCGACAACTGCTACGAAGCCAGGAGCGTCCAGTTAGGTAACCCGGGGCCCGCCAGTCCCAGGGGTGGAGGGAGGCACATCTCTCCTTGGCCCTGGGGGCTGCCAGCCAGACTCCCTTATGTCCCAACCCCGGTGTCAGCCTGCCCTGTCATCTCCGAGGCTCTTCCATAGCAGAGACCCGACCCCTGAGATTCTAAGGCCCCCAGCAGGTGGGAAGTGTGCTCTTTTGATTAGACAGGGCTTAGAGCAAGTCTTGTTTTTCCCCCTGGAGAAGGTTCTAGGTCTGAAGCACCTAGCACCAGTTTTGGATTGTTGTATTTAAAAAACAAACAAACCAAAAACCAAAATAATAATAATAATAATAATAATAAAATAAAACAAAAACCAGTGTGAACAGGAACCAGGACGAGAGCTCAGTGGACTGAGTGTGTGCTATACGTACAGGCACAGCACAGCACACACTCAGCCCAGGTTCGATGCTCAGTTCTGCCTGTGGCCCCTCCAAGCACCACCAAAATGATCCCTAGAACTGTGCTAGGGGAAGTCTCTAAGCATTTCTGGGCATGACCCCCAAACAAAATAGCAGCATTTTCCCAAAGGGCCCCCTTCCAGAGTAGCAGTGGTCAGGCCTCTGGGTGCTTGGAAGCCTCCTGGGCTTCCCCTGGTGATGCTGGGAGGGAACATGCAGTGGTCAGGATCAGACTCCCTCAGCTGATCCGGGTTGGATCTCCAGTAGCTGAGCCCCGAGCCAGGAGTAAGCCCTGAGCACTGCCAGGTGTGGGCACCCCTCAAAAAATAATAAAGGAAAGTGTGGATGGAGATTGTAGTTTCCAGGGTTGGAAAGTAAAAACTAGCGGATGTCCCCCAGTTTTAGGCTGACCTGAGCTCACCACACCCCCCTGTGATCCTTCAGCTCAGCCCAGGGCCTCTGGGAGGGTGACCCACACGGGCTTTGTTGATGCCCCCGCAGAGTTTTCTGTTTTGACTGTTGCCCACTGGCTCCGAGGTGATGGCTTCTCCTCCATCCTTGTCCACAGATGTTACCGAGACACAGGCAGACGACGAGGGCGGGACCCTGATTGCAAGGAAAGTGGGTGAGGCTGTGCAGAACACCCTGGGCGCTGTGGTGACCGCCATCGACATACCACTAGGTGAGCCTGGCTGTGCTGCTCACCGGGACAGCGCGGGTGGGCTGAGGGGAAGGGCCACTGCTTTGGTCAGTGGCCGTGCCTGTGTCGAACGACTACCTCAGGGGCCTCGCGTGTCATCCCCGGAGCCGTTCCCTTCTGCCCTCTGCGGCCACAGGCAGGTTGTGAAGCCAGTGCCATTTTCTCCTGTCTGTCCACCGTGAGCCAGAGGGTCTTCCTCCTGCACTGGGCGTCATGGCCTGGAGCGAGGACCCGGTGTTCCGGGGGGCCAGTGTTGCTGCCCATGAGAGGCAGAGCCGCCACGTGGGCTGGGTTCAGTCACGGGCCACTGTTTCCAGGTGTCCTGAGAGTGTCCCCCAGGCCTCGTCCTGTGACTTCTCCAGTGGGCGCAAGAGCTGGAGTTAGTATCTGAAAGTCGCAGGGAGACTGGCCGTGCACAGCTGACCCGATTACGGCGCTCAGACAGCTGCTCATCTCTGGAAGTGAAGGATACGTGTGTCCAGGACGGGCAAAGGGAGGGCTTACTGGGATCAAGGCCCCGGGCAGATGTGGCTGGTTGTCTGGGAGAGACTGAAGCTGGCTGGGCAGGCGGTCACAGCACCTGTGGGGCTCAGAGATCTGCGTCAGGGCTCCCCAGACGAGCAGGTGATGTGCCTTTAGGCCCCAGGGAGGCGCGGCCGGATTTGCCCGAGCTTGAAGTTCAGGTTGCATCTGCCCTTGGGGACTGGGGGTGGCGGGACCATCTGGGCACGGGGCCTGCCAGCCGGGCTCTCCAGGCGCTGCCTGGCCCAGCTCTCCTGGGGGTGTGGGGCCTGGGCCAGTGTGTTGGACGCGTTCCTTCTTGTCCTCCTGCCCTCCTGTTGGAGGTTGGGTGGTGCAGAGAATAAGCCAAAGCCCTGGGGCTCTCGCATCCCTCACCTTCCTGCAGCTGCCTCCCCATCCCTACTCCATGGCACCAAACCGAGATGGTCTCACTCCAGCGTCTGGGCTTCCTTCTCGGGCCGGGCCCAGCAGTTCTCGGGGGCCGCTATCCTTGGGGCCGCCTCGAGAGCTCTGCAGACACACAGAGATCTGGGTCTGGGGGAGTGGGGTGATGGGCAGGCACGTCGCCAGGCTCCGCAGACTGCCCTGGGTGGGTAGCGTTGCCGTTGCCAGGACGGGGCCACAGAGGCCCGCTCACCTGCCCGCCGTGCCTCCCCTCTGCCTCAGGTCTGGTGAAGGATGCGGCCCGGCCCGCCTACTGGGTGCCCGACCACGAGATCCTGCACTGCCACAACTGCCGCAAGGAGTTCAGCGTCAAGCTCTCCAAGCACCACTGCCGGGCCTGCGGACAGGGTTTCTGTGACGAGTGCTCCCACGACCGCCGGGCCGTCCCCTCGCGAGGCTGGGACCATCCTGTCCGAGTCTGCTTTAACTGCAATAAAAAGCCCGGTGACCTTTAACCCCAGCTCCCTCTTGGAGTCCTTCACAGTTCCTTAGGTTCTCAGGGTTAGAAACAGAAATCTCATTGAGGTTCTTTAGGCCCCTCCACCCATCGTGTGTGTCCTCTCCACTCATCTTGGGGCCACTTTCCTCGGTGGGAGGGAGTGGGGGTGGGGGTGGGGAGGCAGGTGGCCAGCCAGGGGGAGCCTGGTGGCGGGCCCCAAGGCATACGGCCCTCCTGCCAAGGGGAAGGAACCTGAATCCGTTCCATTTATGTTTAACAATAAATAATGAACATACACAGCCACGTCCACCCATTCCTACCTGTGAAAGGAGCCTGGCATGGATTCCGCTGCTGCTGGCCGTGAGGATGGGCCAGGCTGTCCCCAGTGCAGGGACGAGAAGGTGGCAGTGGCAGTAGGTTTCCCCTCCCCCTTCGTCCCCCCCAAAAAACAGAGCCAGCTCCAAAGCCACCGCGGGGACAGTCCCCTTGGGCTGCTCCTTGGAAGCTTCTTGCCTTGCGTGGTCCTTCCTCCCCTCCCCCCATCCTGCCTCTGGCAGCCCGGGCCACTGAGCCTCCCAGGAATGGGGCCTCCGCGCAGCCTCTGGGCCAGGCGCTGAGGTGGGTCGAATCCTGACCCCCAGCCCAAGTCCGTGCGAGACCACCCAGCCTAGTGTGCAGGTCACCGGCGCGGGTGGAGGGCGGGTCGCGGGGGCCTACTGGCCCCGAGCCATGTGGGTGCAGGTTACAGGGTGTTCCTGGAGCCTGAAGCAGGGCCCAGAAGGCATCCGGGCCTGGCCAGTCCTTTCCTGCTTGCTGATGTTTGTCTTGCGTCCACCTGGCTTTCCCTCAAAGGCTGCTCCCCATCCCCCCACCCCCCACTCCCACTCCCGATTTGAAGCCCCCGCTTCTTGCCCACTGGGGCCCCCCCGGAGCCCACCATCTGCTTCTGAGTGTTGCACTAGGGTTTTTATTGCTTATTTGAAAGTGTCTTAATTCCTTGTTCCCAGACACACGCCCCCTGCAGCGGCTGAGGGGTGATCATGAGAAATCTTCCAGGGAAATAGAGCACAGAACGGACTGTTAGTTGTTTTTTAAAGTCTAGATGAATAATTCAACAGATCATTAAGAACAAATTCTCTCTCCTGTCCTCGCAAGAGAAGCCACATGAACTTTGTTTCACATCGAGAGCTTGGACACCCATGTCTGGCACGACTGGAAAAGAGACTGTGGTGCTGAGAGCCTGGCCTCCCGGGGCCCGCCTCCCCGGGGACCCCCCTCAGCACAGGAGTCAAGGCGACCTCGTTCTGGACTGAACTGGTGGGCGGGCAGGACTCCGGGGGGCCTTGGCGGTCATCCCTGGGCGTCCATGTGACGGAGCTCGGGGATGTGTCTGTCCTTCTCAGACCTGCTCCCTTCCTGCCCCCCTGTGGCCCCATGACTGAGGCCCCCCCCTAGAACCATGTATTATCAAATTCGCCATTATAAAGGAATCTTCCTGTGAACACAGAGGCTGCTGGCTCCTTCCTTTGGCTCCGTCGGGAAGTCCTACGCCCCCTCTACGGTAAATGGGACAGAAGCCGGTGGCTTTTGGGGCAGACGCCTCCTGGGAGGGCTATTTCTGGGGGGAGGGAGGTAAGAGCTTTATTGGTAAAGCTCTTTATTGTTTTAGTTGCTGGAGCGATAGTACAGCAGGTAGGGCATTTGCCTTGAATGCAGCTGACCCCAGTTCAATCTCTGGCATCCCATATGGTCCTCCGAGTACCTCCAGGACTGATTCCGGAGTGCAGAGCCAGGAGTAAGCTCTGAGCATTGCCAGGCTCCCCGAGGCTGCCTGAGAGCTTGCGCAGTTAGTGGGCATCAGGCAGCCTGCCCATCCAGGTGTCTGGTTCTTCATTCCCCAGAGCTTCCCATAGTGGGTGTGGGCCCAGAGTGTGGCTGGGGGGTCGGTTAGGGAACCAGGAAGGCTGGGCAGGTCCCAAGTGGGGAGCCCGTGTGCTCTGTTGTGAGTGCAGGCAGGAAGTTGCCCGGCCCATGTGTTGCAGCTTCTCTCCGGCAGAGGGCGGTCCCCAGCCCCAGAACCCTTGTGCTGTAGCAGAGATGAGGCTTCCTGGAGCTCCTGGGAGTGTCGGCCAGCAGACTCTTCCCTTCCTTCCCCTGCCCACCCACCTCCTGGGTGTCATCCATGGCTTCTCCTTGCGGACACTGACACAGACTTATGCCCACCCTCTTCCCTCTCCTCTTCTTCCTGCTCCTGTCCCTTTCGCCCTCCTCTCTCCTTTGAGGGTGACTAGGGCAGGAGGGCCCAGGCTGGGGAGAAGGGAAGGGTTTGGTCTGTGTATCTACTGTTTCCTGTGTATGGGGGCGTCTCTAAACACGTAGAAAGGATGCGAAAGTGTTTGCCTGGGCCCCCTTCCTTACACTGGTCAGACTAGCAGGTGTTGAGTCATAGGGGCTGGGGAACCACAGACCCCTCCTGTGTGAGGCCCTGGAGCCCATCACTGGTATACACACACACACACACATACACACAAGACCCACGCCTGACTCATACATCACACATAGTTGTTCTCAAGCGGGTCACACAATCAGCTTGCACCTAGATGCAGGTCATTCTGCAAATCAGGGCCTCCCAGTTCTCCCCACTAGGGTATCCCTGATCCCAATAGCTGAAAGGCGTGACTGATTGCCTCATTTTAGAGGTGTATGGTGTAAGGTCTTTGATTACTCTGGTTTAGGGGCCAGAGCAACAGTACAGTGGGGAGGTGTTTGCCTTGGATGCAGCCGACCTGGGTTTGCTCCCCGACATCCCGTATGGTTCCCCCAAGCACCGCCAGGAGTAATTCCTGAGTGCAGAGGCAAGAGTAACGAGCATCGCTGGGTGTGACCCCCCCCCCCCCAATAAAAACACAAAAAACAGACACTTGTGGGTAGAGGAGCTTGCTCCAGGACCTTTTCAACCGAGTAGCGGTGTTAGAAAACTAAGTGTTTTCTGTGGTGAGACCTGGCGGGATCCCACACATCCCTTGGGTTTCTCTCTACTGCTGACTTACTCGGGAACTGGAAGAGGAGTGTGCTGTTGGGGCGTTAGGAGCTGAAGGGGTGCCTGCTGCAAGTCTGGAAGGTGGCGGGCGGGGAGTGTTGCATCTAATCAGTGTCCTGGATTCAGACACCGGCAGGGCAGCCCTCAGCCCACCGCTGCCACCTTTCACCTGGCTCCTCTTCCATGTTCCTCCCCTGCACAGGTTGTAAATGGCAGAGGACAAGTCTTCCTTTTCTCTCACTACAAATGTCAGAAACTGGTGGAGTGATTAATTAAGCAGGCTGGATTAGCTTATAACAAAACAGCTAGGCTTCTGGTAAAAATGACATGGTAGGTGCCAGAGAGATGGTACAATAGGTAGGCAATTCCTCTGCATGTGGCTGGCCTGGGTTTGATTCCCAGCACCCCATATGGTCCTCCACGTACCACTAGGAATGAGCCCTGAGCATATCAAGACAGGAGTAAAGCCAAGAGCACCTTAATTTTGTAACAATATTTGTACTTTTAGTTTCAAACTAAAATGAGTGTCAAACATGAGGGTAAGGAAACTAAATGCACATGGTGGCCTATAATTTTCAATAACCTGTTAAGTTTTCGGAGTCTTTTTGCCACGACACAACGCAAGCCATCACAGCGCCCTAAGAAAGGTTTTATCAGCAAAATGCTCAACTTGTCAGTGGAGATGAACCACTTTCCATACAAGCTAGCTAGAGGTTTCCAACTGCTGGTCCGCAAAAAGACCCCCTGCAGGCTTATAAAGGTCTAAACCAATGGCCTAGCAGAGTGATGATTACTGGACCACAGTCATGCCCATCCTCAGAGGTGGTAGGGTTGGAAACCTGCCCTGCATCCTATTGGCGTCAGGATGTGTCTGCCGACCAGAGATTGCTGTTTATAGATAAAAAGGCTTTAGAAATGATCCCAAATACCACTTTTCTTCAGTATAAGGGAAATCTAAAATAATTCTTTGACCATTTTTCTGCCTATCGAGAAAACTCCTGGGGCCGGATCTATAGCACAGCGGGTAGGGTGTTTGCCTTGCACGTGGTTGACTTGGGTTCAATCCTTGGCATCCTATATGGTCCTAGGAGCACTGCTAGGAGTAATTCCCGAGTGCAGAGCCAGGAGTAACCCTTGAGCATCACTGGGTGTGACAAAAAAAAAAAAAACAAAACCTGTCCCTTGGCACAGCTGGGAGAACAGAGTCCAGAAGGCATGCGGGGCTGGCGCACACAGAAGTTTGGCTGGTTCTCATGAGGGGTCAGATGGTCTAAGAATGTGGGGAGGGATGCAGGTGGGGATTTGAGAATGACAGTAACAGACTCCCAAGAACAGCTCAAAACAGTGAGGACACTGCACTGTTACCCAGAGTTCTCAGCGGCAGATCTTGTCACCGTGAGCTTGTCTGCTGTGATCGCTAATGAGAGGGATCGTGATCCCAGCCTGGGTGGATGCTCGGGTCAGTGCACCCAGTGAGCTTGTTTGTGCTTTAGGCCGGATTCCCGTAGCTGTGGACACCTGCTCCCTTCGGCCATGTGTGCAGTTCAGGTGCCACGGTCGCACTTACAGGGACAGAATCTACAAGGTGCAATGCATGAGCATTTTGGCAACCAGCCAGGTGCTTATCCATCCAGTGGCGTGCCAGGAAAACTCTACCTGGTAATTAGACATGTCATGAGGAGCAGGAGTGGGGGCCAGTGACCCCCAAGTCACTTTACTCTTCCCCCGTCTCCTGCTGGCAGGTCCTGGGGCAGAACCCAGGGAGGGCAGAGGTCAGGGAGGGGAAAGGGCACGGGAGGGGGGATCTGCAGGGGCCTCTATGACCCACTCCAGCTGGCCTCAGTCTCCCTACTTCCTCCCCCTCCCCTGGCTGGTGGCTAGGGGCCCTGAGCAACAAGCTCTCAGGAGTCAGGTCAGGTGCCAGCACAGGCCACACCATGGTTCTTCCTGGTTTATTGTAGAGAGGACGGTACTGCAGCACTCTCGGATAAATAACCTTGTCGAACCGCGTCTCCCGAAGTCCCCAAAGCCGAGAGCCATGCCCCTTCAAGACAGTCAAGTCCCTGCAACAGGGTGCACTTGCCCAAGGCAGGCAAAGTCCATCCCCAACTGGAGATGCTGCTTTCCTCTCATGCTCAGAACTGGCCACGAGGAGACTCTCACAGCACTGCCCACTGCCCGGTTGGTTCAAAGTGCAGGATTCTGCTCTGGCTTCAAGCCTTTCCCTGAGACTCAGCTGGCCCACGGAGGAACAGAGGTCTGTCTGCGCCCGCGGAGGAACAAAGGTCTGTCTGCCGGGGGGGCCCAGATGCTGCTGATGCTGCCAACCCCACCAGCATTAGGCTCTGGTGGTGCTTTGTTGCTGCAGTGCTTGGGGTCCACTCAGCCGCGTGCAAATGTCCAGGAGTGGCTGGGACGATGGCGAACACTGGTAGTGCTTGCACAGGGCACTGGGCCAGTGGGCACTGGACCCAGAGCCTCACATGTACCAGGCATGTGCTCTGCCACTTGAACCACATCCTTGGCCAAGGGCTTTTGATAGAACCAAGAGCTTTCACTTAGTTACTGACGCTCTTCAGTACTCAGAAAAGCGTGTGCGTGTGTGTAGAACCAAGAGCTTTCACTTAGTTACTGACACTCTCCAATCCTTAGAAAAGCGTGTGTTGTGTGTGTGTGTGTGTGTGTGTGTGTGTGTGTGTGTGTCTGTGTAGGATAAAACTGTGTAACTGGGCTGGAGGGATAGCACAGCAGGTAGAGTGTTTGCCTTGCACCCAGGTTCGATTCCCAGCATCCCATATGGTCCCCCGAGCACCACCAGGAGTAGTTCTTGAGTGCAGAGCCAGGAGTAACCCCTGAGCATTGCCAAGTGTGACCCAAAAACGAAAAAGAAAAAACAAACAGAAAAACTGTGTGACTATTCTAAGGAATTCAATGAGACAAGGAAATCACAACAGGCACCTCTTATGAATAGGCCTGCTGAGCTCCGAGAGCCCCAGCTTGACAAGTGTCCACACGTGATAGGCACGGGTATGTGGAACAGCCACGTCAAATGCTGCAGGCGGCTGTGGTGGCAGGGCTACATGCCCCCACCCCCGCCTCCCAGGATGCACCCTGCAAAACCGATCCTAAGACACTCGTGTTGCACGTGGAAGGCCGAGGCAGGGTCCCCCGCTCCACCTGCTCCCACCCACGCTCAACTGTAGGAGAAATAATAAAGGTCCTGCTGGACAGCCATGAGCAGCCCGGGCACCCCTCGGGAACCCCTGAGGCGAGACAAGAAGGCCACGCTGGGAATGTCGGTCTTGGAGGTGGGGTGCGGGGAGGGGATGGTTCTCAGCAGCTGGCCGTCGTGCAGGCTCCAGAACCTTGTGTAGCAGTCCTGGCCCACTAGGAGAGAGCACAGAGTCCATGGTGGGTCGCGGGCAGAGGGGGCGTCTCCACAAAGGGGGAGTCTCACTACCATAGAGGGGTGCTTCCAGAGACTCCAAGGGGCTCTGGGGCAGAAAGGGGTCTGCAGTGTTCAGTGACAGGGTGCCCAGGTGGTGGGACTCTTGGTGTTGAAGAGGGAGCACGGGATGAGGTTGGGTGGGCGGTGGTGCTGGAGCAAGAACAGCACAGTGGGGAAGGTGCCTGCTTCTCATGTGGCTGACCTGGCATCCCATATGGCTCCCCCGAGCCCCGCCACAAATCATTCCGGAATGCAGAGCCAGGAGTAACCCCTGGGCACCACTGGGTGGGCGAGTCTCAAGAGCCCCAAATCAAGAGAACACATAGCCCCTGGGCCTAGAGGGCATACAGCTGATTTCCTGTGGACAAAGGGTTACCAGGATGTGCTCTGAACTTCCTGGGGGGATAAATAACCAGGTGTCGCTCCCCACAGTGCAGACCCTCTGGGGATGGATGGCAGCTCGGCCGCGGGCAGTCAGACCATGGGTGATGCTGCAAGGTGGCTTAAGCGCATGGTCAGGCCCGGCGTGTAACAGGACAGAGATCACCCGGATGGATACCGGGCTGGCAAGGGTGCTGGCCCCTACCCCACTCTGGGCCTACAGCCCCACGATCCAGCCTGTTTGGGGAGTGGCCCCCTCCATCCCGTGGGCGGAGCATTATCCCCGCCTGCCTTACCTGCCACCACAAGCTCCTCCTCCTCATGCACATGCAGGGGCAGGCAGGCGTACTCGTTCACGTGCCCCTCGTACTGCCGCAGACACTTGTTGGTCCTCAGGTCCCAGAGCTTGATCTGGGGGGGGGGGGGGGGGGAAGAGCGGAGGAGGGGGGCTGCTTTGATGGAAGGCGATTGGCGAGTCCCAGATACAAGCCAGGAAGGCTGAGGTGCTGCCTAGAGACCTCTCCAGGTCAGGAAAACCGCCGAGCCCAAAATCCCACCCCCGCAGCCCAGCAAAAGCACTGGAACCAGTTTCTAGAGCCCAAGCAATAGTGCAGTGGGCAGGATGCTGGCCTTGCGTGCACCCAACCTGGGTTTGATGCCCATCACCCATGTACCATCAGGAGTGAGCCCTGAGCAATGTGGGGTGTGGCCCCAAAACAAAAACATTAAACCCAAGACAAAATAAATAAAACCCAAAAAAACAAACATAGCTTTCAGTGTGTCTCGGGGACACCAGGCTTCCAGCTGACCACTCGTCTAGTCTCTGGAGGCCCCTGACCTGCCTGCTTTCCAGTGTCTTCTGCCAAGCCTCACCATCTCCCACCTCCCCGCTGGCGGACCTCAGGCTACCAGCTCTGTGGCCCCAGGAATCCAGTGCGCCCCTCACCTTTCCGGCCATGTCGGACGCCATCAGGTACTGCTCGTCCTGGAAGATGTACAGGGAAGTCACAGCCAAGTCGTGGAAGAGGCGGGTGGCCTTCCAGCCTTTGCCCTGGTTTCGAGCACGAAGATCGATGGCAAAGATCTCCCCGGAACGGCAGCCATTGAACAGCAAAGGAGCCTGTGGAATGAAGGAGGCTGAGGTGCTCCTGAGTGCTTCTCAGGCTGCCTCATCTCCTGGCCCCGGACCCTCTGGAAGCAGGGCTGGAAGAGGCAGCCTGGAAAGGGTGAGGTACCTGCAGTCCAGTGACCTCCAGTGGGAGCCCCCATACCCGTCCCTTGGCCCACCGAGGGCATCTGTGCAAAGCTGGGGTAACAGACACAGGTAGGAGAGCCAGGTAAGACCCAGGGTATTGAAATGGAGCAAGAATCTCTGATCACAGCCCAAGCAGGGCACAGATTTCACTTCAAAGAAAGGTGTGGCCCAGAGTGAAGTACAGCAGATCTGCCTTGCAATCCTGTATGGTGCCCTGAGCCTGCCAGGAGTAAGTCTGACCACTGCCGAGTGTAGCCCCCAAACCAAAAGATAAATTAAAAAAAAAAAATTCTAATAAAAGATGTCGTGTATTTCTGTATAAGCACGATCACTACCACATCCAGGTTTTATAATGTATGAAATATATGACTTGAAAGCTTATATAGGAAGGAAACCCTGGAACAAAAACCATTATCTGGGGCTGAAGCAATAGCACAGCATGTAGGGCAATTGCCTTGCATGCTACCGACCCGGGATCAATTCCCAGCATCCCATATAGTCCCCTTGAGCACCGCCAGGAGTAATTCCCGAGTGCGTGAGCAGGGTGTGACCCAAAGAGCAAAAACAAAAAAAAAAACCCCACAGTCTATCCCTCTCACCGATCTCATGAAATGCTAAACAACAAAATGGGAAGTTGATTAAAGCCGGCTGAGTCAGATCTCCCTGAATTAGCCAAGAATGTGATTTCACGTGTGTCAAGATGTACTCACAAAGCGGTCCATTCATCCTTCCCGGGTTTCCCTTTAGCTCCCTACATCAGGACGAATGATGCCACCCGGGGGGATCTACTCTGGGATTCAGTCAACTCTCCACTCCTGACAAGCATCCCCTCACTCCTCCCTAGCCCAACTGACCTGGACCGCAAACTGCTGGGTCAGGGCATCACTGCTGGTCCCAAACGACTGCCGGTGCCCCGTCACCACATCGGTCACCAGGATCCGCCGAGATAAGCCTAAGGGACAGAGATGGGTGGGGAGATGAGTGTCTGAGCAGATGCACTGCCAAGTCTCATCCTGGGGGAGGGGGGCCTAGAAGCCACAGTGCTCACCTGTGCTGAAGCAGTTACTAGCCTGCGCGTTGAGGGACCACGCACAGGACCAGGCCCCGGGGATCCGGAAGCTGCAGAGCATGCCAGGCTGGTCTCCTCCTGCTGTGAACGAGGGGACAGGAAGCATGGCTGCCCCGGACAAGCACCGGACCAGGTGGCCATCACTCGGGGAGTTGTTAGAAACAGTTGCTGCTTAGAGGAGTCCCATTCTGGGTTTGGTGGGAGCCCACAGGAGCTGTGGGGCGGCCTGGCTCCGACTCAGGTGGTTACTCTTGAGTGCATGCAGCTGGGTCACAGCGGCCCCAGGGTAATGGGTGGAAGGGTCTCAGCCCCAGATCTCACTGGAGGCTGGTGACCCCCAGCAGAATATCTTCTTGACAGTGCTCAGGGGACCGTATGAGGTTTCGGGGACTGTACCCAGATCAGTAGTGTGCAAGGCGAGTGCCTCATCCGCTGTACTATCATTCCGGAACGATATCAGGATAGCAGTTACTGCCTGCGTGTTGAGGCCAGAACTATCAGACGTTAGAACGTCTTCTTCAAAAAACTTCTTATGGGGCTGGAGTGATAGCACAGCAGGTAGGGCGTTTGCCTTGCACCTGGCAGACCAGGGTTCAATTCCCAGCATCCCATATGGTCCCCCGAGCACCACCAGGAGTAATTCCTGAGTGCATGAGCCAGGAGTAACCCCTGTGCATCGCTGGGTATGACCCAAAGAGCAAACAAACAAAAAACTTCTTATGGGTATATGGGCCTAAAACATGCGGTAGCAGCTTACCCCTGTTCACCTTATATGGTCCCCTGAGCATTGCCAGAGGTGATTCCTGAGCAGTCAGGAGACATCCCTGAGCACTGCGGATACAGCCCAACCACCCCCTCCCACCACCACCACCGAAAAACCAACAATAGACAGCCATAAGATACAGTATAAAGAGTTATCATAGAGTTAATACAGCATGTAACACCACCCATATTAAACAGACTATTCTGGGGATGAGGATGGCCCGATGGGCTGGAGAACTTGATGTTCAGGCAGGTACTCTGGGTTCAGTCTCTGGCACAGAAGCGGAAGCGACCCAGAGCACTGCCAGGTGTGGCCCCCAAACCAACAAAACCAGAAATATCCCTAGGTCTCTCTCCCATCCACTCCAATTTCCATCTGCAAATTCTCCCCAGAGGGAGCCACAAGCCTGACTTCAATCTACAGATGCCATTTCTGGAACTGTCATGTTCTGAGACTCTGGCTGATTCCTCCTGCCATCCTAAGCTCACAGGGGGCCCATAGGCATGCCAGGTAACAGGCTCAGCATGTATGAACTCACTCAGTCCCCAGGTGACTGAGCTGCACCAGGAGCCATCTGCTTAGCCTGGCATCATCCAGGAGGGCCTGCGGCCTGCTCAGGGGCTCACCCTGGTCCACTCCATTGCAATGAAGTCACGAAGGATTGAAAGCCAGCTGGCTGCCTGGAAGAGGAAGCCCACCCGCCTTCAGCCAGCAAGAACGGAAGGGTCCTTACGAGCACCTGGCACAGGGCAGTGACATCTTCGGAATGGTTGGTATAGGCAGCCCAAAGCAACGTGGTGCCCTCCTGCACCCAGACAGACTTCCACTGTCAGGGCTGATGAAGTGACCCTCAGGGACACAGAGGTGGTGCACGGGAAGGTAAACACGCTCTGAGTCTGTGTCCTACCTGGCTGCTTCTGCACTGTTGGCCTGGGCTCCCGCCTCCACTCCAGTCTGGGTGAGGGTGGAGCCAGATATCCCCCTCGGGCCACCCCTGGGGCCATGCTCGAACCCGCACCTGAGTGACTGCTGACGAACAGTGAAGCTGGGAGCAGGGTGGCACAGCCAGGTGTCTCAGCAATTCCCAGGAGGCAGAGCCTGGCAAAGCTGTTAAGGAAAGTTGAATACAAAGCTCTGGGAGGAGAGGGGGCACCGGTGCCCTTCACTGCCTGCAGAGAACATGCTCCATTTTCTATTGCTTTTGCTCTTTCTGGATCATGTTGTGGATGTACCCAGCGCTCCACACATGCAAAGCCTGCCTAAGAGCTCTACTGCAGACCTACACCCCCAGCTCCTTTCCATGGTTTTCCTTTTGGGCAGGCCACCCCTGGTGGCATTCAGGGGGGCACATGTGGGCCCGGGTCCTCCGCATGCAAAGGCATGCACTTGACTACTGAGCCACGGATCTTCTGATCTTTTAAACGGGGGGGGGGGGGGGGGGGGGGGGCAGGGGCAAAAAAAATGGCATGGTAGGCAGGAGAGACAGCTTAATGGGCTGCTCTGTTTGATAGCCAGTATCACACACATGCCCCACCCCGTGCAACCAGGAGCATCCTGTGAACACAGCTCATACCCTGACATGGCATGCAAGGCTCCGTGAGCACCACAACCAAACGTGTGCAAACCCTGACTGCAGCAGCAGTGATGGGGGCGGGGGGTGGACTCCAGAGAAACACCCTCAAATCCTCAGGTTGTGGACCTGTTGTGCTCCCAGTGAAATCTCTCTAGTAGAGGCTGCTGGAATGATCCCCGAGAACCGACATCGTGGGTGAGGATGCAGGGGGAGTCCTGAGCCAGGGTCCTCTCATGTTAGGGTTTGGACTTCAGGGAACCTAATGTGTTAGGGATCTAGACTCTCACTGCCACCCGGGACAAGGAGAGGCCGAGGTCTGAACTAGGTACCACTTTCATGGATGGGTGGTTTCATGACCTTCAGAAGCTGCAGCAGAGAGGGACACTAGAGCCTGATGCTGTACCTGAAATGCCCACCGGAGGCAGGAGGCCTCACTCACCTGTACCTAGTCCAGGTGCAGGGCCAGCACAGGCCCACAGGGGTGACACAGAGTGAGGTTATACTAGAATCATGCTGGGTGATGCTTGGGGGGCCATATGGGAAATGAACCCAGGCCGGCCCTGTGCAAGGTAAGTGCCCTGCCTGCTATGCTAAGTCTCTGGCCCTAGACCACACTTTTCTAACCCCAAGGACCCCTCCCCCACCCCTCGGCCCACTGAGATCCTGAGGAAATGCCGCCCCGGTTGGCCTGGTTGTCAAGGCTATCTCAGGCTTGGTGCTTCCTGGGTGCTAACACCATTGCAGTAACAGATGCTTCTGGCACCCAACCAATGAAAGCCACAGGAAAATACCAACTTACATGGCAGTCTTGTGTTTGCCTCCACGTAAAGTGTGTATAATCTGGGGCCGGAGTCATAGCACAACCAGGAGGACGCCAGGGTGGCTGGCCCCGATTCAATCCCCGGCATCCCATATGGTCCCCTGAGCACTGCCAAGAGTAATTCCTGGGTGCAGACCCAGGAGTAAAGCCCTGAGGACAGCTGGGTGTGGTCCAATCAGGGGCGGGGTTGTGACTTGCATGTTTGTTCTCCTTCAATGCAGGTTCCCTGAGCACCGCCCAGAAGTGACCCCAGACCACAGGGCCAGGAGGAGGCTCCCAGCAGCACTGTGTGTGACTCCCCCTACTGACATTTATCTCAGATCTCTAACATTCTTTAGGCTTTGAAACTCTGAGGAGGCTGGAGAGTGCAGTGATAAACTCATTTGCCTTACACGCAGCTGGCCCGGGTTCGATCCCTGGAATTCTATATGGTTCCCCTGAACCTACTCAGGAATGATCCCTGAGCACAGCTAGGTATGGCTCCCAAACAACTGCAACAAAAAACACTGAAATAAAATCTCTTGAAATAACAGTGCTATGGAACAAATTTTAAAAAAAAAGAAACCCAAACATATCTAACCAACAGGCTCTGCCTGAATCACAGGTTGTGGCCCAGGGGATGCCAAGCGTACATGCAGATGTGAAGGCAGGCCGAGCTCGAAGGAGCCTGAAGCGGGTGAGGGAGGAGGGCTAGCACAGTGTCAGGAACTCAACCCCCGAGAAGAGTAAGGACAGGCCTCCTGAGCACCATCTTGGACGCCCTGGGCCCAGCTCCCTTGTTGCTAGGGGAAGGTAGAGACTGCAGTACTGAGTGCTCTGAAACAGGCTGCTTCCAGTAGGGCCCCAAGGCAGAGCCCACCGAGCTTGAACCAAAGGAGTCCCCTCTCTGGGGCCTGTCTTCAGCCTCTCCCAGGGTCCACCTGGCCGGCCTCAGTTCCCCAGTGCTTCTGGACTCCCCTTCCAGTTTCGTTCCTCTGCTGATGGAAGCACTGACTCTAGACTCCGCGGTTCCAGGACAGTCTCAGGCAGTGAGACAGCAAGGCCTTCTGGAGGACTCTTGGTAGCTTCAGGAACCCACGTTGGCCCAGACTCAAGCCCTAGATGACCAGCCCCACAGACGCCAGGGGACCATACCAGGGTATGTGCTAAGCCCCCGAAACCTCTTCATCTGCCAAAAGATACAGGACGTGGGAATCCAGGTGATTCAGCGAAGCCCAGCACACAGAGTTCACCTAGAGAGGAGGCACAGGGCAGAGTAGTCAGCCGGCCGACAGCGACCCACAGAGGAGCACAGGGAGGTCCTACAGGGCTCGGGACCACAGCGTAGAAGTGACCATCCCCCCAGCACGGGGTATCTGCAGGGACGAGCCTCACTGTTTCTCACTTTCAACATGTGTTTCCCTCCCCGCCCCACCAACTTGTGTCCCTGTAACCATGGGTCCTCTGGAGGTGGCCGTCCAGGGGGCACGGAGCCGGGCTCCTGACCCAAAGGAGATGCTGTGTTAGCTGCAGATGTGGCGCAGGCCTCGTCCTGCAGGGCCACACAAGCCCCTCTGCAGCCAGTGACACCAGCTCTATGCCCAGCCCCTCCTTCGTGAAATCCTCCCTTTTCCTGGCTAAGAAATGCCTGGGGTCCTCTGCCTCCCTGATGGGTCCCCACAGTCTAAACCTTCATTGGGCCAGAGCACGAGTACAGCGGGTAGAGTGTTTGTCTTGCATGTGGCCGACCTGGGTTCGATCCCCGCCATCCCATACGGTCCCCTGAGCACTGCCAGGAGTAATTCCTGAGTGCAGACCCAGGAGTAACCCCCTGAGCATCGCTGGGTGTGATCCAAAAAGCAAAACAAAAATAAAAAAAAAAACATCCAGTCCAAAACCAAACAAAACAAACCCCATACACTGAGCCCTGCCTTGTTTACCCAACACCCACTGCCCCCAGCTAACACCTCCCCCCCACCCCGCCCTCCCCACCACGCGCCTGCACCTTCCGGTTGGTGAAGTAGAGGTTCTCGTGCACATGCACACGGGGCCGCGGGCCCTGCAGGCCCTGCAGGTTGATGATGCCGTACTTGGAGCCTCCCACCCGGACGTCGTTCACTGTGAAGAGCTGGTCGTTGCTGCTGTTCGCCTGGAGGGGCATGTGGACAACGGCTGCCTTGCAAGTGGCCCAGAGTGGCCCTGCGTCCCAGTGCCCCAAACTCGCTGTGTGTCCACTGGCGAGTGTGCCTGGACACCAGAGCATGCCGATGACCTGACCGTCCCTGGCTAGGGGGCGGCATCCAAGGGGTACAGCTACGACTGGGTCGAGGTGGGGTGTTGTGGGGCCCAGGGCAGGGGTGGGGGAGAGGTCTGACCCCATTCAGAACAGGGTCCCAGCACACACTCGAGAATGACCCGGTGACAGGGCACCGTGGCCACAGTGAGTCCCCAAGGGTCCTCTCTGAGAGCTCCAGAACGGATGCCACTCCAGCTGGAGCCAGAGGGAGAAGCTGCCCTTCCTGACGATCTCAAAGCACACCCCCAGACTGCAGCGCCTCATGCTGCCTCGGACGCAGAATATGGGCGCATGCGGGGGTCAGGCGCCTACGCTCTGCGCAGGGAAACCTCAACTTACACTCCAGAGAAAGCATCTGGCCCAAAAAAACGAACCCTGGGAGGCCAACTGCCCTTCCCAGAGTCTGTCAAAGTCCCTGGGCGGGGCGCGTACGTGCATTCTATCATTCAGATCAACTGGTACCCCAAGTCACAGAGGGTGTAAGGTCATAGAAGAGGACGTAAGTCCTGGCCCCCAACACCTCTGACCTGGAGTAGGGGGCCTGCTATGGGGAGGGGTCTCAGGGTCTGTGCCAGAGCAGCAATACACAGACCTGCCAGCAGCTCCCAGGGGTGTCCCCCCAGGCCTCACCTTCCCAGCTGGGGACTCCTGCCCTTGGCCCTCCTGTTCTTAGGCCCTAGCTCCTGGCCGGCTCTAACTGAACCAAAGACTTTCATTCCTGCCAAGGAGGTGAGGGAGGTGCGGGCCCAGGGACCCAGGTCTGAATGCCACGGCCACTCAGGGCGGGGCCAAGCTAGCCTGGGGGACCTGTGTTCTGGGGACCAAGGACACTTGGCTTCTGGTTCTGCAGCCACATCTTGATGGCATGGGAAGACCTGGATGCCCCTGCCCACGGCGTGCCCCTGGCGGCTCTGTGCTACCTCCTAAGGGAAAGGCAACAGCATCAATGTGTGGCTGCCAATGTCCCCAGAACCCAGCTTAGTGGTGGTGGGAAGTGGGGGTGATGACTGTCACAGCTTAGCCTTCCCCACCTGCTCAGCACTGGCCACTGGGTGGCTTGTGGGTGGCCATTAAGGCCTCACTACCTCACTGCCAGGACTGATGGAAGCCAAGGGTGATGGGAGTGGAGAGGTAGGGGTGGGGCATCGCACACCCATGCTCACCAGTATGAGGTTAAATCGGTCGCTTGCCAGAGCAGAGGGATCTGAGCTCTGAATGACGACCTTCTTCCTCTGCATGCAGTTCACCCGCAGTTCGTGGGCTAAACTGCAGCGGGCAGAGAGGGAGAACAAGGAAGACACAACTAAAAATCCATGAAGAAAACTCAGGGTCCCGCCCCTGAAGACCAACTCCCTTCACTGGCCCACCGCTCTGTAATATTCCCAGCAACGGAAGCGGCTCAAGTATTCACCATTTTCAAACTTTCTTTCTGTTGGGAGTCGTGGCTGGGGCAGGGATGGGTGAGGGGCTGCCCAGGGGCTACTCTCAGTGAGATTTGGTCTATCAGGTTCCAAGGTTCAATGTTAGAGCCCAGCAGTGCTGGGGGCCCCAAGGCCACACATGGTAGTGTTGGGAGCCAGGGTGGGGTGCCTATGGGCCAAGATCATACCTGGTGGGCATCCCGACAGTGAACTACCTGACTCCCAGTTTTAGTTTTTTGGGTGGGGTGGGGTCACACCTGGCAGTGCTCAGGCTTACTCCTGGCTCTGCGCTTAGGGATCACTTCTGAAGGAACCCACATGGGGAGAACAGAACCTGGGTGAGTCGCGTGCAAGACAAAGGCCCTCCCCACTGTACAATGGCTCTGGCCCCGAGAACTCTTTTAAGCTTCTTAAATCTCCACCCCACATGGGATCACATCACCGAATGTGGCGTTTACAAAAAACTGTGACTGTCACTGTCCTCCCGTTGTTCACTGATTTGCTCGAGCGGGCCCAGCATTGTGAGATTTGTTGTTACTGTGTTTGGCATATTGAATACTTCATGGGTAGCTTGCCAGGCTTTGCCATGCGGGCGAGATACTCTCAGTAGCTTGCTGAGTTCTAGTCACAGTAAAAGGTCTGTGCCGGTGCAACAACCAAAAAGCCAATTCAAGGGCCGGAGCGATAGTACAGCAGGTAGGGCATTTGCTTGCACGTGGCTGACCCAAGTTCAATCCCCAGCATCCCATATAGTCCCCCAAGCACCGCCAAGAGAAATTCTTCGGTGCAGAACCAAAAGTAACTCCTGAGCATCGCAGGGTATGACCCCCAAAAAAAAGTGTGGGGGGGGGAAGCCAATTCAAAAATCAAATGTGAGCCAGATCGGGGGTACGTTGCATTTCTGGCAGAGCTTGCCCGGGGTGCAGCCAGATGGAATGTGGCTCTATGAAATGAAGAGAACGTGCCTGAGGAATGAACCAACCCACGGGGCTGGAGAGCTGGCTTGGAGGGCTGGGGAAGGGGCCTGGCACCCCAGGGCCCGCAGACCCCGGAACAGAAGCAAACGAGCTAATAGGCTGTGGGGCTCCCAGCCCCTCGGGGCTTGGCTCACAGCCCCCCTTTCTCCCCTCCACCTCAGTGTCCCGTGCCCCGCCAGGACCAAGCATGTTTCAGGGGGAGCAGCAGATCTTGCTCACTTCTGCTCCGCAGGAGGAACTGGGTACGGGAGATACGGGCCCTCTGCAGGGCAGGCAGAGACCCCATGGGGGGTGAGGGGGAACAGGAGTGCAAAGGGAGCCAGGCCCCATGTTCCCTAGCTCCGCCCAGAGTGAATTCGTGGAGCCACAGTCTTCTTCTGGAATCAGCAACCCACTTCACCGGGTGGAATTACAGTAGCAGATAGAATTTAGCACACGAGCATCCAGTGAATGGATGGACATCTTGGGGGACAGCTCAGAAGGAGGGAAAAATTTAGGTATGGTTCTCATGGGAATGAGGTTTTGGAAATTTTTTTTGTGGGGAGGGGGTGAGGGGTGGGTCAAACCCGGCAATGCTTAGGGCTTATACCTGGCTGTGCTTGGGGACCACAGGTTGTGCCAGGGACCAAACCTGGGGTCCTCTTAGAGTCCATCCTGGCTACCTCTCAGACCATGAAAAGAAGCATAAAAGGAACATTCCGGAATTAAACCTAGCAGCACTGTGTCTTACCGGCAATAGCTGTTGAAGCTGAGAAAACCCAGTTTCCTTCTTTGCAGCAATGAAGAGGCATTGCATCCTCTTCGAGCTGTTCTCTACGTGAAAAAGGAAAACAGGGGGAAGGGTTGGTAAAGCTGGCGTCAGGGGGACGAGGAAGGTGTTGGGTTCTGCGGAGTACACGGAGGAACTGTGGAAGGCCCCTCGGTACCCTCAGCAGCAAGCAACACCCACTGCAGGAAAGACCTGGGGGTGGAAGGCCTTGCTCTGGCCACAGGAGAGGAAGCCTGGCTCTGTCCAGCCCACCATCCCTCTTGCCACCGCAGGGTCCTGATTCCTCATCCCCAGAAGGGCCCTGGCCTCCAACCAAAGCCACTGAGATGGTGCCCCATGGCTTCCCCAGGGAAGTCCAATGTGCGTTAGAACGTCAGCGGGAGCCTGGCCACAGAGGGAGGAAGCAGACGTCCGTTGTCAGGATCCCGTGGGGACAGTTGTGACACCACCGCGCTCTGCTAGGGGGCGTCTGGCCCCGTCCACTCGGTGCCCCACCTTCTTCTGCCTGTCGTCTGCCTCCAGCAGCTGTAGCCTTCGGCTCTCCATGTCCTTCAGCCAGATGCTGTCCTTGGTGAGGGGGTTGCAGTTGTTATGTCCAGGCAGCAAGCGGAAGTAGCGTTTCTTCTCGGGATCATAGTAAAACCCCGGCAGCTCTGCCGCAGAAAGGGAAGAGAAACTATTCCAGCACGGCTGCCTGCACGGAGGTGCCCACCACCCAGTCCTGCCCTACAGGGGGCGAACCCCCAAGGCCGAGGAAGGGACAGGCCCAGGTGTGGGTCCTGCTGCTGCCTTACCTGGAACGGAAGAGCTCCCAGCTGTGCTGGACGAGGTTGACGGGCCCTCGCTGTCACCACCAAAGCCATTGTGGCTGGGATCCTGAGCTCCTGCGTCACACCTGCTGAGAAACAGCGACAATGGCAGGCAGCAGAGGGCTGGGTCCCAGCCGTTCTCCGACTGTGGGGGCAACTCCACAGCCGCCACCCCAACCTTTCTGATAGCGTGGGAGCACTGACCCCGCTTTCCCGGAAAGCAGTTTACTCCAAATACTCCAGTTAGGCAGGACCTACCTGGTTTACCTCCCCCTCCCTTTTTTTAAATAGGAGGGGGTCACATGATGGTCCCGTCCATTTTCTCTCTCACAGGAGCATTCTGAGATGGCTTGGAGGTTTTACGGGAAGAACTTCACCAGCAGGGCCCATCTGTCAGCTGCAAGGCAGCTGCAGGCCAGGTAAGTCTTATTCAGCAGAACTGAATCTAGTCCCCCCATCTCAAGAGATGGAGAAACCGGGATTCAGGGCACAGAGGTGATGTGCTCAGGAACTGGGATGGAGCCATGGTTCAAAAGTGCAATTTGCAAAATGCAAGTGGCTCCTGTGGATATCACCATGGGTGGGGGGGAGAGGGGTGGAGGGGGGGGGGGAAGGAGCGGTGATTTTGAAACCCTGATAAGATTCTCTTTAAGTAAGTTGGCCTTTCCCCTACACCATCCGCCCACCCCTGGCTCCGGGAAGGGAATACAAATGTTAAAAACAGGCCCTGGGCGATGTGACTTTCTCCTTTGCCTGTAAATACTAACTGCAGATGGCTGCAGCGGAAATTCTTTTTGTTTCCCCTTGGATGGCTCAGAGCAGGCAGCAGGATGGGGAATGAGGCAGGATGAGGAGAAATGAGGCGTCATATGACAGGTCTATCTTCCTAGGCAGCCCGTTCTGTCCACAGGTTGCCCCGGGGGGTGGCAGTCTGGCCTGTCTCCATGCCACTATGTCTGAGGCCCGGCTCTCTTCTTATACAGACCACATTGAACTATGCTGCAGGTCCGGATGTGGAGGCTTGGGATACCGCCCCCCCCCCCCCCCCCGCCCTTCCTCCAATCCATAACGTCACCCCTGACTCGTTGCTATGAAACACAAACACTGGCCACAGCCCTGAGCGCTCTACATACAGATCACACCTGGGACTTGGGCTGAGCGGGATGGACCTCATTCTGGACCCAGTGAGGTTCACCTTATACAAAGGCCCTCCCTGGAGCCCGGAACCCCAGTGGGGGGCTTCATACACAACACTGGGAACCTCAGCAGGAAACAACTGGCTTGCGGCTGGAGTGCCAGTACAGTGGGAAGGGCGCATCCTTCACCTGGGTTTGATCCCGGGCATCTGTATGTTCTCCTGAGCCCTGCCAGGAATAATTCCTGATCAGAGCCTGAAATTGCCCCTGAGCATCGCTGTGTGTAACAAAAGAGGGAAAAAAAAGCAAAAAAAGTTCTGCCTCACATAAAGAGTGCTCTATATGAGCTAGAGCACTACCGGGCTAGAGAGATAGCCCACCAGGGAAGACGCTTGCCTTGCACATATCTGAGCCCGGTTTGATCCCCGGCATCTCATAGGGTCCCCTGAGCCCACCAGAGAGGATCCTTCAGCACCTAGAGCAAACCCTGAGCCCTGCCGGGTGTGTCCGTCCTCACCCCCCCTCCACACACGGTGGCTGGCAGGTAGAAAAGCACGGCCCCAGACACTCATGAGCTGCAAACACAGGGGCGGGACGGGGTGGCCCAAGAGTGGCACCGCGCTGGGCACTTGCCTCTCACTTGGGGTGTGCTGTCGGACCAGAGGGGTCTGCTGCCAGCTCCTTGTCCTGCGCCGCCCGGGTGGCATGGCTGCTCCTGGAGAGAGAGAGGGGGAGAGGGAGATGCCTGTTTGGGCGCCCTCCCCATCCCAGGCCAACAGTCACCCTTGCGGAGACCCAGGCTAGAATCAGACACTGGAGAGCGTGCACGGGGCAAAGGCACCTGTTGGTGTGCAGCTGATCCCATCCAATCCGCAACACCACACAGTCCTCCACCCTCCCGGGTTGAGCCCAGCACAAGGCCTGGAGTGCCCCCCACAAACCACTGGCAGTGGCACCGCTCCCCAAATAAATCAAAACAGTGAAAACCCTCCGCGAACCTCCTCTCTGGCTGCCACCTCCCAGGGGACACGTGTCCTGACAGCCTGCCGGTTGCCACACAGGCACGTCACCCTCAGACCTCAGCTACTTGCCTTAGGCGGCAACCGACAACGGTTCGATCCCCACCTGGCACATGGTTCCCCGAGCCCCACCAGCGCTCAGTCCCGAAGCACCAGTGGGTGTGGCCCCAGAGTCCCAGAAATGAAAAATTGAAAAATGAAGATCATGGCGATCATCAAAGACACATGGTAACAACACTAAGCTGAAGTCACACACTGTTGGTGGGTATAAAAAGTACTGTGGCTCTTTTGGAAAAACAGTTCGTCAATTTCTCAGGGTTGCAGCGATAGTACATCCGGTAGGGAGTCTGCCTTGCACGGGCGACCTGGGTTCAATTCCCAGCATCCCATATGGTCCCCGAGCACTACCAGGAGTAATTCCCAAGTGCATGAGCCAAGAGTAACCCCTGTGCATCGCCAGGTGACCCCAAAAAAGAAAAAAAGAGACCAGTTTGTCAATTTCTCAAACATTCAACAATATAATTTTGAGGGATTTGTTTTTGGGCCACACCCAGTGATTCTCAGGGGTTATTTTTAGCGGTGGTGGTGGGGGGACCACATGGGATGCTGGGAATTAAATCCAGGTCACCCACGTGCTAGGCAAATGCTCTACCTGTTGTACTATCGCTCTGGCCCCATCAACAATATAATTATCCAATAATTTCACTAATAGGTCCAAGAAAGGGTTCAAGGTGCTTGCAGCAGACCCTGGTTTGATCCCCCAAACAACATATGGTCCTGAGCATCACCACAACCTCCTGAGCATAGCTAGGTGTGACCCAAACTTGCCCCCCCCCGCAATGCCAGTAACTCCACTCTGAGCTACACATCCACTGCAAGTGAGAATGCATTAGAGACTCCAACGTGTTCTCCACATAATACTTTCTGCTTGGTTGATTGATTTTGGGACCACACCTGCTGTGCTCAGGACTTAACTTCTGGCTCTGGAATCTTACTTCTTACTCAGGGAGAGTATATGAAGTGTTGGGGACTGAACCTGGGTTGGCTGTGTGCAAGGCAAGTGCCCAACCTGCTGTACTCTTTCTGGCTCCACACATATGTACTTTTTTCTTAGGGGTGTGTGGGGGGGGTGGGCTTTCCAAGTGGTACTCGGGACATCCAAGGACCCTATTAATGATTCTCAGTCAGCCAAGTGGCCAGTCTAGCTCAGAGGTCCAAGAATGCAATGCTGATCCAGCCCTACAGTACTGGAGAAACCCAGACAATGCTTCAGTGAAGCGGGAGGCAGGGGGGGCGGGGTACGGCGCGAGCAGGGGGGGTCTTTAGCACTACACCTGGCAATACACAGGGGACCATGGAGTAGAGGAAATTGAGCCAGGTCAGGCGCATCCCAGCCCCCACACACATATGTGCCTTACAACCATTCATTCCCCTTCAGACTTTGCCCTGTCTCCTAATACTCAGGGATATTCTTTTGCATGCTGCATTTAATGTTAAACTAGGTCCAGTCACAGATGGATGAAAACAGCAAACGACAAGCCCTCCAGAGAGATCCCTGAGGCTGACATGCAGACCTCTGGAGACATAATGATGCTACCTTAAAGTTCCACCAGGACCAGCCCCCAGCCTGTGATTCAGTAAACTACAGCAGGACAGCCTTGAGACCCAACCCCATCTCTCCTCCTGACCCACCCAATTTTTATTGTAACTCTTCCAGCCAGCCCTATATAAATTTGAGTTCATTTCATGTGCTACAATGTGGATGGATGCCAGAGCTTGGGAATGAACTTGGGCCTCGTACGTGTGGTGCTTGGAGACCCTTGAGCTGCACGCCAGCCCTAGTATAAAGCTACTTCTTTAGGGGGTGTCAGAGAGAGAGCTCAGTCGGTAAGACACTTGCCTTGCACTCAGCTAACCCAGGTTTGATCTCTGGCGCCCCACATGGCCCCCTCGAACTCTGCCAGGAACAGACCCAGGAATAAGCCACTGTTACCCGGTGATCAAACCCAAAACCCAGAGCAAATAAGGTTTCTTTCTTTTGTTTTTGGACCACTTTTTTTTTTAAACCTGCTCGAAAGCCTATTTTTTTCTGTTGTAAATAATTGCTCCTTATTCTATATGAGTTGATAAAGGCTCAAATTAAACCCTTCTCTATTTTTCCTTTTCTGACAAAAGTTTGTTATTTATTTATGTTTTTCTGTCACACCTGCTGGTGCTCAGGGCTTTTTCCTGGTTCTATAATCAAGGATCATTGCTGGCAGGGCTTGGGACCCTATGGGTACTGGGATCAAACCTGGATCAGCTGTGTACAAGGCAAGCACCTGATCTGCTGTACTACAACGCCAACCCCCATTCTATATTTTTAGGAAGAGTGATGGTTATTCCTTTATTAACTCTGGCAAAACTCGTACTGAGCTTTAAGTGATTTATGATGTTCCATATGACTATGTTTTCTTAAATAACATCCACCAAATCAGCAGCTTTCCAAAAGCTGTAGCATCATATATTATACTTTAATATGACAGTTTTATTTGTTTTAAAACTAGAATCAGGATGAGCGTGACTTTTATTTAAAGTAAAATTTATGCCTTACACATTTGTAATATATTGGCATACTGGTGTTGTTTCCTTTGATTCTTTACTTGTTGAAAGGTAAATTTACAGCTTGAGCGATGGAACTTCCTGTCTTAGGCAAGGCTTTTTAAAAAGGGGAGGCATGCATATGAAGGGGAGCCCAGAGCATGCGAGCACATGTCTGCATTCAGGAGACCAGGTTTGTTACCTAGGTACAATCTCCTGCACCACTCGGTCACCCAAGTACCACTTCTGGGAATGATACCCTGCCACCCCCCCCCCCAATGCCCCCTCCCATGCCCTAGCAGGGAACTAGGGAGTACTCCCAGAGCACCACTGGAGATGGTGTAAAGCAAAACCA